TCTCTCTGCACCCTTGACACCCATGGTTTGCATCATCTTTATGTGATTTTGGCCCATGCTGACATACTGGGTGCTGGGAAACACAGGTACTGGAGTGATAGATGGGGGAGTTTAACATGTACATGCAGGCTGTCAACAAAAACAACATAAATGGCCCTACACATTTGTAAACACTTTATTCAATGACCAGGTTAACACTTTCACTATCCATAGACATCTATCTTAACTGTGAAGGTAAGGGAATTCTAACCTCACAGGTGTATATCAGTGCTTTCCCATAGTCTTCTGAATAATATATTCAATTTCAGTGAGCTTTGTAAAAAGACAATTAAATAAAAAAATTGAAAAACAAGCGCTTCCTCTATGTGTTTGAAACCACACAAATGAACAGAACTTTGAGATTAAAAAGACAGTATAATTATTTTATGTCCAGTGTAATTTGCTTTATATTTCTCATGTTTTGTGCACTATGGGAATTCTCATAGAAGCTCATTTGATTCTTTTGTTTGTTTAGGGGAACGGGGTGCGGTGTACCTCAGTGAATAGATAGGAAGGATGGGGAAGCAGTAGAGAGACCGTATCAGGAGGTTCGCCCCACCTCCGCCTGCATCCCCTTATCTGTTAATTAAACAGTATGGGTAATAGGTGGGGTAATGAAAGCCTGGTGCCAGCCAGGCTGTGGAGTGGGGAGAGAATAATGAGGTGGGTGGGGGTTTAGCTTGGGGGGCGGCACTGACAGCCTGTCTCCTGATGGAGCCGGGGGGGGGGGGCTCAAGTTACGGACATGCCATTGATTCAGACGGGGTGACTCAGCAGGCCTGTAGCCTGTCGATAGAATCCTTGGTGTGGCTGAAAGGTGATATGCCTGCCACCACAAGCAGGGCCTCGTTACAGCCTTCTCAAAGGAGGCAAAGGTGACTTTCAGTGATATGCAAAGTGGGTAGAGTACAGCGGGTGACAGGGTCTGAGAGGGTACAAGTTTTGGGTTCAGCAAATATGCTGAAACCTGCATCACTCTGGTTGCGCATTTACTCTAATATGAATTTAGTGTAAAGCTAAAGTAACATAGATTTGTTTTAGAACTGAATATTTCTAATACAACCATTTGGGTGATACTAGCTACTACAAACACATTTTTTTGTTGTAAGGACAAAATTTGGGGTGTGATAAATGCTTGGATGTCTGAAGACCACCTCCACAGCTTGTGGTTCTAATCTTAGCCAACTTTCGTTTGAAATAGTTCAATGGCTACTTGTCAGCATGACTCTCAATGGGGAAATGATATCACTCTTTCCTGGAGATGGTGTGTAAAATGGGTTTAAATCTGAAAAGTGGATGGGGGGTCCATGTTGTTCATGGCTATTAAACTGTAAATAGGGCAGAACTAATGTATGTTTTACATTGAGGGTCAGTGAGGAATAAGGCAAGAGAGAAAGAAATGGAAAGACAATGATACTGAGAGAAAGAAAGAAAGAATGGAGAAAGAGGAGAAAAAGAGTAGAGAAAGGAAGCTGAAAGATGAGTAACGGGATTTTGGATGGGGAAGGGATGATAATCAGGTCCAGTCACAGACTGAAAAATCACCCACCGAGGCTAGAAAAAACCCTATCTTAAACCACTGAAAGAATTGTGAAATGTCCTTGGGGGAGAGGGAAAACAATAGATTATTCTTCTACTTTCTTTATATTTCCTTTTTACATAAAGCGTGATCACTGAGTGGCAAACAGCTAATCCTCTTGTTTCATTTTTCACTCAAAAAAGAATGTGATCTGCAAATTGAATTTTTCAAGGCACTCATTAAACATTTTTTTCTCACTCTGCTCCTTTACAGTGGATATATTTGTTAAAATTAAGCTATGGGCACTGAAATATTTCAGGTGGAATGGCATGGTTATCCTGAACCCATGTTAGGTTAGACTTGCAGCCCCCTACATGCATTTTTATTATACTTTCGAATTGGGTGGTACAGTTATTATCAGTGATAGCCAGTTCTCTACTGGTCAGTTCATTGTAATGCCCACTCATCAGTCCTTTTTCATTAATATGCTATCCATTAAAGCCATCCTGATCTGGAGGCAGCCCTGGGAAATGTAAGATGTGGCAGAGACAGGACACCAGTGCATCACAATAATTTTGTCTCAAAAATGTTGTGTTGCAGACTGGCAAAAGCAATTTCACGGCACATCAACAGAAATGCCTTTTTTTGGGTCATCAAAAGACAAAAATAAACAACATAAAACATAGTGACCCTAAATGTGTTTTCCTTATGGTTACATGGCATGATTTTCCAGATCAGAGACCAGTCTTCCTTAAGATAAAGGGACAAACACATGGATATTGATGGTAAACTGATGGTATGACCACGGATGTATTAACCCAGAGTTACTTACATTTACATTTACTTACATTTACATTTTTATCCAAAACAATGTTCAAGTGAGGCAAATATAACATTACAAACATACACGCTGTTACAGAGTCGATTAGGCATTCGTGCGACTAGGCTGAGCTTCCAGTGAATCTGTAAGCGGTTTTGGAGCAGGTGCTACACATCTTCCAACAAATTCACTGCCACTGCTCAAGCATTGTGTCACCTAATGGCATACTTCCAAAAAGACCAGCTCTAGGGGTCCAGTTTCATATTTTTGCATACAAATACATAGAACATTAGAAAGGATTCTGTCAGAATTAAACTATTATATTCCCTGGACAGCCCATCTCCTCCTACTATCTAGAAGTACATGATGGATCAACTTGAAATGTGAGTCAATAAATGTACTATTACCCAAATATGTTGTATGTAACTCTGAAACTACTCCTATTCAGTTATTGCACATTCCCCTTACATGCCAATTTGCACAAACTTTCCCCACCAATTAGATTGTTAGCTGTATGTCTTTGTGAATGTCTTAAGGTTCAGGTCCTTAGTGTCATTTATATTGTTTATATGTCTAAATATTTATATTCTATTTATTTCTCATTTGAACCATGACCAAAATTTTCTGTAACATGACAGTACAAACCATAACACACACCAATAGTACAGTATATATGGAGCCCTGTAGGGTCAAGGACAGTTTTTTTCCCCAAATGATCATAGTATTAGTTATTCGTGTTCTTGCCTAAAGTGAACTCAAGGGCAGAAACTAGAGTGAAGCATGAGAATACTATGTATTTTATAGTAGTATTTTTTTCCAATTAGATTTGTGTAATAATGCATAAAATCTCCCATTCCTATTTTATTTTCCAGTACCTTATTAACGGACAAAAACTCTTTGTGGTCATTTAGTTATCGTTATATCAAGTAGTTTTATTTACTTTTTTTTAAATTCAGTAACAATTTAAAACTATGTGCAGATAGATTGACTGCAGTTCAAAGATTTCCGCCTTCCAGTAAATGGGCTTGTTTTCTCTAGATTTTGTGAGCTCAATTTAGTATTTTGTGGGCACATTAAACTAAATTGTATTTAGCACATGATTTAGCACATCATGTGACCAAAATAATAATAAAGGAAAACTGTCTGTGGTCTCTCCAGGGCTCTGCAGGTATAACTGTCTAGCTACCATGTCATACAGATGCACACAGACCGCATTGTGATTTTCTGGTATCAAATGGTGCTGCTACATAGTTGTTGTTTTTTTTTGATGGCGCTCATACATCAATCAGCTATAACATTAAAACCACCTGCCTAATCTTGTGCATGTTCACCTCATCCAACCAAAACAGCTCTGACCATTTGAGGCATGGTATCCACATGATCTCTGAAGGTGTCCTGTGGTATCTGGTACAAAGATAATAGCAGCTGGTCCTTTAAGTCCTGTAAGTTGTGAGGTGGGGCCTCCATGGATCTAACTTGTTTTTCCAGCACATCCCAAAGATGCTTGATCATATTGAGATCTGGGGAATTTGGAGACTCTTTTTCATGTTCTTCAAACCATTCCTGAACAGTTTTTATTGTGTGGCAGTGCACATTATCCTGCTGAAAGAGGCCATTGCCATCAGGGAACTCCATGAAGGGGAGTACTTCATCTGCAACAGTGTTGTGGTAGGCAGTAAGTGTCAAAGTTACATCCACATGAATACCAGAACCCAAAGTTTCCCAGCAGAATATTTTCCAGAGCATCACACTGCCTCGGCCAGCTCACCTTTTTCCCATAGTGCATTTTGGTGCCATCTCTTCCACTGGTAAACAACATACTGTATAGTGGGACCCTTGACAGGTGCCAATGTAATGAGATAATAAATGTTATTAATTTCTGGGTGATTGGTTTACAAGCTGAAATTAACTAGCAAAACAACTGCTTCACAGGCACACTAGAGTGTATATAAAATTTGTATAATGCATCAGATCCCAAACTTATGAAAACTAAACACTAGCAAACAGTTAACAACAAGTTATGTCAGAATTTTAGCTTTGTAAATAAGCATATAATTATTATTGCACTAGAACAGTTAAGATGAGCATGTGTAGCGCCCCCTTCGGCCCTCTATGGGGTCGAACACTGTTTTAACACTAAATGGGGGGCCCTGGTTTCGTTCGTCTTCCTTTGCGCTGCGATCCAATTAGAGCCTGTGCAGAGCTAGCACAGGCTACACCCAGTGCGGTCTTCTTCCCAGCAAAACCAATAACGCAGTTTACTTTAAAACATTTACTACACAATACTTAACGACACCAGGCATAATACNCAACCCAGGAAGGGGTGATAACCCATCACTGGGCAAACACACATGTACACCAATGGGCAATTTGGAAACTCCAGTTGAACTCAGCATGGCTTTGGACTGTGGGGGGAAACTGGAGTATCCAGAGGAAACCCCATGACAACATGGGGAGAACATGCAAACTCCACACACATGGAGCAATGGTGGACACTAGAACCCTGGTCCCAGAGCTGTGAGCAACAGTGCTAACTACTGCACCACCGTGCCACCACATGAAGGAAGCATCACGGACTAAACTTATCACAGTTCATATTAGAGCAGATTGTCCAAACTCACTTCTCTGTGCTTCGGGGTGACTGAGCTGTAGACCACATCGCTGGCTGGGGTTACAGCAGGTCGGTGTGAAGAACATCTAGAGGACACCTGCTGAGAGCATTTAGCTGCTTACAGTGGAGGTACAAGACCAACCTTTGTGCAGAAACCACAAATCCATAAACTCCCAAACCTCCCATGTGAATCACTGTGAAATATCAAGGGTATCATGGTACTTCTTGGTACATTACAGCTAATTCTGATACACATGGATCTGACAGATCAGCTGAGGTGTAGATGTACCCATTGAGGACATTACTGAGATACTTTTCACTGTCATTGTGACACTCGGCTGATGCCTGAACCAAGCACTGATTTACATAAAACCATCTTACCTGTGGATCTGGCAGGAGAATGGAGCTGTAGGTGACATCAGCACCAGGTTCCACAGAGGCCTGAGAGAGGATCACATTATTTGCATTTAGAAAACATTTTAACTGCAACTTAACAACTGGCTTATGAGAATGTGCCTTATAAATAGTCTTCACACACTAATAACATTGCATGTTTGGAGACAGGGGCTACACTCATAAATATCATCATATGTATGTTATTTCCGTGCTTTATTTGCTCTGCCGGGTCTCCCTTGATGATGCCAGTTCTGTCTATGACGGCGTATTCATGGTCTGGGTTCAACTTGAGAAAAGTCACAACTCAGCATTTAACACAATTACTCCTCACATCATCTTTATTTACAGAGATAAACTTCTTAATGAGTTACTGACTGTTAACAGAGTTTGATTTCTGTTTTTGGTCTTTTATAAAAGACAAAATCTTATAGAATCTTCCAGAGTTTCTCTCCATATTAAACATGAACTCACTGTTAATTCTGTGCTTCCTGGATTTTGGTTCATGGCCATTTTTTTCTCTACATGGAAAGAAATGAGAAATAAAGCCAAAGGAATTTATTCTGATCACATCACTCACTTTCCGCTGATTCTATTAATTTGCTTTATGTCAAACACATGGTCATTTCCTCTTGATTATCATGCACATACGTGTGAAAATGTTATCCAGTCTAATAACTGTATAAAACTATACAAATGTATATGAGCTATTGTCATCTCAGGTGAAATCTGATTAGCAACCTACACTTACAGGTAACACAGTTAATGATGTCCAGCTGGCCCTGGTTGGAATAAC